TAGTCTCATTCAGCCAGGTGTCCCCCATCATATATCTGTACTTTTCAAGTCTCATTAAATATAGTGGATGGTATCCCTTGTATAAAGTGGCAAAATCAAGGTTTGCTTTTTTGAATTTATATATTTTTTGAATATTTTCAAGCTGTGGATATTTTCAATCAGTGAATAAAGAATCCATGGATACGGAGGACTGACTGCATTCTAAATTAACCCTAATGGGGGTTAGGATAATCAGCAAACAGAATATATTCTCATCAATTGATCTCCCAGACCCAATTTTACAACTCACACTTTAATGAAGTGAAGCTGAATTAATCAGATAGTCAGTTCACTGGTTATTAGAAAATATACAAATAACGAAGAGTCAGAATGGTATAGGGGTCTGAGTGTTGGACTAGAACTTCGGGAGACCAGGCTTTGAATTCATGCTCAGCCATGGAAATCACTGGATAATCCTGGGCAAGTCACACTTGTTCAGCCTAAGAACAAGGCAATGACAAGTCTCCTCTGAATAAATCTTGCCACAAAAGCCCTAGGAAAGGGTTGCTGTGAGTTGGAGTCAAATTGAAGGCGCATAACAACACATAAATAAGATGAGGAAAATAAAAGTAGTATGTTCGTCTAGGTGATTTCCCCCTCAGAAGGACCACCTGTTCCATGTCTCTAACAACATTAGAAATATAGATGGTAGGCCCTGAGAAAGTCATATGAATTGTCAGAAAATTATATTCACTGCTTTTCCTACCTCTCCTCTGTACTTGTGGCCACAATTAGGGATGACAATCTTTGATTTCTTAAGTCCTGAGTCCCAAGGCAAAATTCCACTGTCTGGAGGGATTTGCATTGAAATGCAAAATCAGGCTTGTCTCAAGCAAGGATTGCTGTATCTTTTTCTAAGAGCAAGAAAAAGATGACGGCTGGAATCATTCACTGCCTAACAGTTTTGACAAGGAAAGGCAAATACTTATAGCCTAATGCTCTCTTGGCTGGTTAGTGTGTAACAGTATTTAAGCATTATCCTAACAAGGTTCCACTGATTTAATAGATCAATTCTAGTTGGATTAAAATTTAATTTAGCCAAGGGATGGGAATCCTCCCAATACTGTTAGATTGCAATGCCCATAAAACCTAACCAACATACACAGTCAATAGTCATGAACGCTAAGAGCTGCAATCCAATAACATCTGGTGGGCCACTTGATGTCCACCTGTGATTTAGCTTTTAATGCACAATTCCTGGTTATCATATATGGACAATGTAGGAACCAGAAAAAAATAAAACAAAAGCAATTCTGGTTGGTTCCCCTCCCCTGCCCATATAGGAAGAGGAGGATTGGTGAATGCTTAGATCTGAGGTTCCTTTGGGCTCACCTGATGCTAAATTGTGGTTTAGCACCATGCTGAAACAGATCACTGAGGTCCTAGATCTGTGTCTTGGTTGTCTGAATAGCTGATTGGGTGAGCATCATATGAATGTACATACTTACATACTTCATCTATCACTATTTTAAAAACAGATAAATCCCTGTAGATAGAAATCCCTGTAGATAGAAAGGGGAAGCACAAGTATGGTTCATTTCCCTGTGTCTCCATTTATTTATTCAATAACCACAGGTTTGCCACTTCAGTGAGAACGGGGCTTGAATTCAGGTTGGGGCAGGAACTTTCAAACTCCTGCTCTTTATCTTCATAGATGGAAAAGGGATCCACCACCAGTTTTCTACCATATCCAATCAACAGTGAGCTCAAGAGCAAGTTGGTAGCCCTCTTGGAGGACCACTTGCACTCAGCAAGTGCAAGTTGGTAGCCCTCTTGGAGGACAAAGTACAGCAGCTGG